CTTAGCATTTTGTTCAATTCTTGACCTTCTGCTTCGTGAGTTCCAAGGCACTGGCTTGATGACTCAGATTTGTTACAGGTTCTTGGGTGCTGCTAGTGTTGCTGGTCTGGGGGCGGGGAATCACATTTTAAGAGTCAGATATATATATATATATATATATATATATATATATATATATATATTTCCCTTTGGGTTATATGGTGCAACTTTCTAAACGACCAGCAATTAATGTTTATTTGAGATGCTCAGGGCCAGAATTGGAACAGCTCCAGAAAAGCAGAAAGATTTGTCCCCCTCACCATAACTTCAATATTTTCAGTAAAATACTTGCTAATCCTTTTTTGTGACAAGGGCTATAGGTTGCCTATGGTGACTCTGTAATGGTACCTTGGATGAATTTTGTCTTGCTGAGTGCCAGTACCTGGAAGAGGGAACCTAAGTAAAACAATTCTGTGAAGAAAAACAACTCACGGGTACTGGTTCTTTGCAATGGTCAACCTGACCTTGCTATTTTTTGCTAATTGCACATTTTGGCTTTTGTGATTGTCTCTTAGCTTGCAGCTGAGAAGGGAACCTTGAAGACTGCTGCCTTAGTTAGGGTTCTATTGTTGTGATGAGACACCATGACCATGGCAACTCTTAAGAAGGACATTTAATTAAGGGTGGCTTACAGTTCAGAGGTTTAGTCCATTATTGTCACGGTGGGAGTATGGTAGCCCACAGGCAGACCTGGTGCTGGAGAAGGAGTTGTAAGTTCTACATATGGACGGGCAGGCAGCAGGAAGAGAATGCCACACTGGGCCTGGCTTGAGCATCTGAAACCTCAAAACCTGTCCCCGGTGACACACTTCCTCCAACAAGGCCACACCTCTGAATAGCGCCACTCCCTATGAGCGTATGGGGGCATTTACTTTCAACCACCACAACTTTCCAGCCAGGATTTTTTTTTCTTCTTAAATAAGGGTCCTGAGAAAGGCTCAGGTATAAGACGAATTGCTAAATGGTCTTATCAGTAAAAAAAAAAAACAAAAAACCCAGAGTCAGATAGTAGGGTGAAAACTGAGAGATCAGAGAAATAGAACAAGCCAAGCCACAAGTTCTTGCTGCTAGGAAATCCTCAGCCCAAAAGAGAGTTACTTCCTGTATACTCATGCCTTATATACCTATCTTACTTCCTTTCTCTGCCCAGCTACATCACCTCCTCTTTCCACCCAGCTCTATCACTTCCTGTCTGTTTGTACAGACCTCCAGACCTCTATGGTTAACTAGCACCGGGATTAAAGGCCTGTGAAACCACACCTGGCTCTGTTCCCAGTGTGGCCTTGAACTCACCAGAGATCCAGAGGGATCTCTGCCTCCTGAATGCTAGGATTAAAGGCGTGTGCTATCACTGCCCGACCTCTATGTTTAATATAGTGGCTGGCTTTTTCCTCTGATCCCCAGAAATGCTTTGTTGGGATGCACACATAAAATATCACCACACTCAGGACTATAAGTAAGTCCTGAATACCTAGGTGTAGTTAACAGCCGGCTGGAATACAGATTTTCAATAGACTGTGTCTGAGTGGTCTTTTCTGGTGGGAGCCCCACAACTGAAATTTTGTGCATGTTTCCCTTCATTTAGAACTTTCAGTTTGCTTATTCCCCAGTGATAACACATCAGCCAAAGATGGATTTCAAGTCTAAAATTGCATTTTGGAGGCTACTGTGTAGGATATTGGCTCAAGTTGCATTCCCCTACCCCCTCCTGTAGCTAGAAGCAACTGTCACTTCACGAAGTGAAACAGCACTGTTACGATCAAGTAGCCAAAGTTTGATTCAGCAATAAGTGAAGAAAGATGGTAAGGCAGGCTGTCTATCCTGAAGTATCTGACAATACTTCAATGTAAGAGGGCACTTGCAGACATTTTTTTACTTACAAGTGTAGTATTTAGGGGGACCCTTATTCAGAAATAGTGCATCATTCACAAGTACACTTTTTGTTCACTAAACTAAGACTATCTTAATTATTAAGGTGTATAAATTCATATGGCAGTGATAATTGCCCTTCCAGAGGACTGGGGTTTAATTCCCAGCAGCCACAAGGCAACTCACAGCTGTCTGTAACTCTAGTTCCAAGGCGTGTTCCAACAGCCATGGCAAAACACCAATGCATATAAAATTAAAAAAAAAAAAAAACAACATCCCGTTTCTAAAAATAGGTCTAAGGAAATACAATGTACATCATTAAAACCTCTGTAGTAACTATTTAATGGGATATCTTGATTTAGGGGCAAAATTCAGGAAAATCTTTAGAGTTTATCAAGACATGTTCCTTATCAGCTGGGAGAGGTGGCCCATGCCTTGAATCCCAGGAGGTAGTGATAGGCGGATCTCTGAGTTTGAGGACATGAGGACAGTCTGGTCTACAGAGTGAGCTCCAGGACAGCCAGGGCTGTTATATAGAGAAACCCTGTCTCAAAAAACAAACAATGTTACTTATCATTTAGAGGTCTTGAGTAGGTTCATTTTCTCTGAGAGTTGAAGACTTTAAAGAGAAATCTTGGACAGCAGAACGCAGCAAAGAGATTCAGCACATAAAGAAAAGGTTATTAGGGGTGAGGAAATACACACACATACACACACGCACACACACACACACACACACACACACACACACACACACACACACACACGACACACAAAGAGAAAGACCCTCTGCAAAGCAGAGGCCGGTGGTGTAAGAAGTAAGAAAATAAGTCAGCGTAGGAAAATCAATGGACTCATTTTGATTCCAAAAAGGTGAGGGCAGACTGTATTAGTCTGAGAGGGTGGCACCCGCAGCTCAGTATCTGAGGGTATGGAAGGCACCATGCAGGGTCTGGGGGTGGCTGGCTTCATGAGGCTCAGAAACTGCTCTTTATTGGGATAAACTTCAGGGTACTAGTTAAATTAGATTGCCTAGTTTTGAGGCCTCAGGGCTGGGGCCATGTAGTAACTGTTAGCTAATTTCCAGTATTCCATGGGGAACTGGTTTCTTGAAGCCTTGGGCCTATCTTATGGTCCTGGTTTGGGGTGGGAAGTTTCCTTTAAATGCGAAAACAAAGCTAGGTCTCTCTTTGAAAGCTGTGGGTTTTAATGGTCTTGGGGGAGTCTTCCTCTCCTAATTTAGGATTGGAACAAGGTGGGGCTTGAATGTGTCAGACTGGTCCACGGGCATGGGGGTCCTTAATGGTGGCAGAAAAAGCTGCCAAGCTTTTGTCTCAGGTCAGGACGCTGAGGAAGAAGCCAGCTATCTTGGAAGTCCACCATCTTTATTATGTAGTGATGGCCCTCTCCCTAGGTCTGCTTATGTGAGAATCTAACTCCCAGTCCCTCAGAGTGTCAGAATCCAAACTTGTTGAAGTATAGATAATGCCTTCAGTTGTAACTATTAAAGAAGTGAACTTCTAATCCCAGAGTTTCTTGCATCTGGAAATGACTGTGTGTCTTGAGAGAGTGTTTATACTGCACTTTTCTATTTACAATGCTCTCCAGCACATTTTGGTATCATCTGTCTGTAAAGAGAACTCTTGGAACCAATGAGCTTAATTTGAGTCTTTCACAGGAGCAAGACAGGGTAGGGGCAAATTACCGGTGGTTACACCATGGAAAAATTTGTCCCCTTTCCCATTGACCATTAACTGCTTATAGATGTTAAGTTTTTCCTTCTGATGCAATATATGTTTTTCCACTTGGTTGATGGAACAGAGGTGGGATACAAATTTAAATTGCAAGTGATGAAAAACATTCAGTTCAGTAGAAGTTATGATGATAAACCATAAGACTATAATTACAACTCTTAGTCCAATTCCTACCCCTCTCCTAGATGGTCATTTCCTACATAATTTCAGGTATATTACCTATCGTCATCTTGTTTCCATAGACAAACTTAAATAAATTAGAAAAGGTACCTAGCAGTTCTGAAACTTTACCTTTGCTTGCAACATTCCAGTTAACCAAGGAGAGTGGGGAGCATACATATAGGAGTAGGATCTCTAAGTAAGTTCTTGGTAGCCATTATTATGAGACTGTGAGCATAAAAAGGTAATCTTGTGCTACTCCCTTCAGAAATTGTCCATTACATCTAGCAAAGGCCAGAAGCCTCTATGGTGTGTATTGTCATAACTGTATGCATGGTCATGATTGAGCCAGCATACCAGGTCTGAGGTCAAGTGGTTGTAGTCTAAATTATCTGGAAATGGTCTCAAATTGGTTAAGTGTAACCTAGGCTCAGAAATCCAAGCATGGGCTCAGCTGTTTTGTGATGAGTGGCTGGCTGCCAAGAGCGACCTGAGATTAGCAGAAGTCTTTTCCAACAAAACATCACCAACCACACTCAAAACATACTTTATCTTCAGCTTCCTTCAAATATCTTCTCAATCTTCAGTCTCAACTCCAATCGCAGAATAAAGGGATTATGCCAGGCCTACCTAGCCTACAACTTTATACATGTGAGCATCATTTTGAGACCACACACATAAATATTCCATAGTACCACACATTAGGAGACTTAAGGCCACATTTTAGGAGAATGCACTACAACAGAGATGGATATTAATGACTTTATTATTTATTTTTTAAGGAAGTATCCTACACTGTATCTTAGGCTGATCTGGAACTAGGAGTACTCCTCCTGCCTCAGCCTCTCAAGTACGAGACTACAGGTGTGAGCCACCACCCACGGCAACAGCCACTCAAATTATATCCACAGAGAAGTGTTCCTCACCTAAAACGCACAAACTCTGAACGTTAGCTCAATCTCACCAGCATGGGCACGCTGCCCCCTGTAAACTAATAGGCTCTTCAAGAGGGGAAGTCACCTGGCAGTGGAAGGCTGTTTGCCTGTTTCAGTCAGAACGCGTCAATCTTCCCTACCCGCCAGAGACGGCAGGATGCAATAGATAGTAATGAAGGTTCTAGCAATTCATCTCACTGGCAATTGGAGAACAGCAATAACTGGAAACAGATGTAGTTTGGGGGCTGGGAGGTTAGAAAGAAAGCTGGGGATGCTCGCTGCCTTCTAAGAGCAACAGAGGGCGCAAGAACCGCTTCCACGGCAGAGCCTCCAGGCAGCCGTTCCCGCGCCTGAGCCGAGACCCGCCCTTCCCTCCGGCTCTGGCCAGTCCGAGAGCTCTGAGCCGAGTGATGGACAGGACAACCGACCGGCGCGTTGCAGAAATGTTCCCCTCCGGAAACAATGACCTCCTTAGGCTTCCGTCCAACGCTTGCCCAGCATCCCTTGCGCGCGGGCCCTGCCGTACCTCGTCCGGGCGCCGCCGCCGCCGGAGCCTTGCGCGCTGCTTTTTGAGCGCGCGTCTGCCCGGGGCTGGGCCCGGTCCGCGGCCGCGCGGGATGGCGCAGCTGGAGGGCTACTACTTCTCGGCCGCCTTGAGCTGCATCTTCCTCGTGTCCTGCCTGCTCTTCTCCGCCTTCAGCCGCGCGCTGCGCGAGCCCTACATGGACGAGGTCTTCCACCTGCCGCAGGCGCAGCGCTACTGCGAGGGCCGCTTCTCCGTGTCGCAGGTTGGTCCCTTGCTGGCCCTGCCCCGGGGACGGACTCCTCCTCCCAACCTGTGTGTGTGTGGCCTTACCCCGTCTGCCCTCCCAGACTCAAAACGTGCAAGGCACCCCGGGTAACGACGGACTGTGCCCAGCCTGGACATCTATGGCTTGTTAGGTGAATTTGTTAGGTGAATGCTAAGTCTAGAGCAGGCCATGCGAGACAGGGGGACACCAAATGGCAGCTCCTCTTGGCAACTGACGCATTTGCCTCCCTAAGTCCCACAACTAAGAGGCATGCAGGTGCCCCTTAAAAAAAATGCAGACAA